TTACAGTTTGGGGTTTGATGGCAGTTTGATAGTTTGTTTGAGGTTGGGCAGCTTGAAGGTTGGTTGCTATAGTTTGAATATTTTTTTTGACAGTTTTGAGAGTTTTGTGATTTGAGGATGGTTTGGGATTTTTTCTGTTTGAAAATGGTTTGTAACAGTTTGTTTGAGGTTGGACAACTTGAAGGTTTTTTGGAACTTTTACAGTTTTGAAAACTTGGTTCTTTTGAGCTTTTTTGAAGTTTGATATCTTTTTTATTCTCCCTTAAGCTTGAGCTTTGTCTACTGTTATATTTATGTGGTTTCTTGTTTGACAGCTTATTCAAAATGGTGGGAAAACCACCAAATTTTGAATACTTTGGGCATGTTCTCCTTATGCTCTTTTCCTTGCAATTTTGTTTTCTAGCAATTCTGGTGCAATTGTGACAGCAGGGCAGCATCCCTAGGTGACTTCTTTCCTCTCTCTCTCTCTCTCTCTCCCTCTCTCTCTCTCTCTCTATCTATCTATCTCTCTCTCTCTCTCTCTCAATGACCCTAAGAGCTAATTTCTCTTTCACCTTTTTTCTGAAAAGTTTGCAATAAAAGAGGAAGATGATGAAATGACTTATGAACAAGCCTCTTGCTTGTTGACTTAGTTTACCATATGTTATATTTTCTTTTTGCTGATGCTGTTTGTTTGCTACTGCTATGCTGCTTGTTGCTTGTACTTTGTTTGCATTTTGTTTTTGCTGATGTGCTGTTGTTTGCACATGATGCACTGCTGTCTAGTTTGGCTCTGTTTTGAATATTTGTTTGGTCATGCTGCTGTTTGGCGTATTCAGTTTGGAATATTTGTTTTGGCCATGTTGCTTGCATTTCTTGTTTGGGTAGCCTTGTTGCATTTGGACAAATTGGTTGCATTCTTTATTTGGACAACTTTGCTTGCATTTTTTATTTTTCTTTTTGTGAACCAAGAAGAATAATCTTCTTGTGATTTGAAAATAGAAAAATAAAAACGTGATAAATTAAAAATAGCCTTCTGATTCCAAATTGCAAATTTTAATGATGAACACCATTCTTTCTTTTGAAAATTCTTACTCATGTCCAAATAACTGTACTAACTATTTTTCTGTCTTTTGTTTTCATGTGAGCACAACTGGATGGTGACAAAGCAGAGGAAGCAAGAGAATCTGTGGCAAGCATGGAAGCAATGGAAGCTCAGTCAACCTTAGGCATAGGTTCACTTTCTTTGTAGTTTAGAGAGAAACATTCAATCAATTGTATTAATTTATTTTTCAAATACGATAAGTTGTAAAACCTAAAGCATTTAAATAATAAATTGTTTTTGTAACAACTTTTTAAATAAATGAAGAAAGTCTTATGAGATAATCTGATGTCTATTAAAATCCATTACTGTCAATAACTCGCAATTTTCTCTTCGCATCTTCACTAATTCTTTAAGATTCCCGATCAAGATAATTGAAACTGCATTCCAATAATTCCAATCAAGATAACTTAAACTCCAAGTAATCCAATAATTTTGTAATCTTGCAACTGTGTTCCAATCAGAACACACACTGTCTATTCCATAAACAAGCAAATATTTATTCCATAAACAAGCAAATGTCTTAACATACGCAAATTATCTGGTTAATCTGGACCAAACAAAACATGAATGTCCCAAATGACAATCTTAGATCCCATCTCTTGTCTCAAACAAACATGCCTTGAGAACAAACATTAACCTTTCAGTAAACTTGAAGAAGCATGAAAACATGTGACAACCAATTGGATTTTTGAGAATTCAATTCTTTTGAGAATTGCAAGAAAAAACCTAATTGCTGGTTTACTGCCACAGGAGAAAATCTGTCTGATCGATTCCTGAGTCAATCTTGAATATCTGAGAAACCCTAGGGTTGTGCTTTTTTTATGAAAAATGGGAGGGCAAATTTTGGGGTACAACAATGGACATCTCAAATTCTCCTTGCATCATTGCTGAAAGTTCTTCACACATTTCTTTGTTTGAAGAGCCAAAAATGATATCGTCAACATAGACTTGAACTAGAAAAGTGCCACCTTTGATTTTCTTGATAAACAATGTCTTGTCAACTTTACCCTTTTCAAAACCTTTTTCGCATAGAAAGTTACTTAGTCGATCGTACCATGCCATTGGTGCTTGTTTCAAACCATAGAGAACTTTTCTCAATTTAAATACATGAGATGGATTCTTAAAATCTTCGAACCCCGGGGGTTGCTTAACGTAGACTTCTTCATTGATATCTCCATTCAAGAATGCGCTTTTGACATCCATTTGGAAAAGCTGGAAATTTAATGAACAAGCATAGGCAAGTAAAAGACTAATAGCTTCTAACCTTGCAACCGGAGCGAAAGTTTCTTCAAAATCTATTCCTTCTTCTTGATTGTATCCTTGTGCTACCAACCTTGCTTTGTTCCCAACAATTATTCCATTTTCGTCAAGTTTGTTTTTAAACACCCATCTTGTTCCAATAATGTGTTTGTTGCTTGGCCTAGGGACAAGTTCCCAAACTTGATTCCTTTCAAATTGATTTAACTCTTCTTGCATAACAATAATCCATTGGTCATCGCCTAAGGCTTCATCAACTTTGGAAGGTTCAATTTAAGAGACAAACGCCATGTTTAGACAAGAATCTTTGAGATTTAGTCTTGTTGTCACACTTTGACTTATATCACCAATTACTTTATTGATAGGATATAATATAAGATATATAAGATATAATTTCACTCTTACTTGATCTTTATCAATCTTATTTGATCTAAGACAAGTATCATCCATCTTTAGATGATATTATTCATCAATTAGGTGACTTTTCTTGTATATGAAGATTCATATTCTTACTTTGTTACTCTTGAATATCATCTTGAGTTAACTTTCTATGCAAGTCACACATTCCATAATTCTTCAATTATGCATCCATCATTTGCTCTTTACTAGTTTAAATTGAAAACTCTTGTTTGTCTCCTTTGCCCACTTCCTATCCAATTTTATCCCTATGCTTATAATGTTTGAATGTGTGAAGTTAAAGGTAATTTGATACTGAATTGTGTATTTTGACACCTTTTAAACATGTTTCCTCTTCATATATCTCTTTCTTGTACTTCACTCATCTTTAGGGGGATGTTAGGGTGTGGTATTGACCCATTCTTGTACTAAATTTTGAATGTGCTTTAGTAGTGATTTCGTAGGGATATTAGAGGTCATTGATATGTGTTATCCTTATGTGCTTACTTATGACTTCACACTTACTTGACATATCATGCCATGTTAACTTGATCACACACTTGTTCCCACTTCACATCACAACTTTGATTGAAACTAGTTTGTGTACTTTGGTGTTTGTACCATGTTTTGAATAACTAATTGAATCTCTTCTTGACCATGAGGTTTGGGCTAAGTGTATAACATGTCTATGTTTATTTGTTTTCCTATCTTTGCTTGCTTATCTAAGTGGGTTTGCTTTAAGTATTTTGTCTAAGTGCTTAATTGTGATGTTTGTTTGCTTTCTATTTTATCTAAGTGTATGGTTGCTTCTTCTTCTTCTTCTTCTTCTTCTTCTTCTTCTTCTTCTTCTTCTTCTTCTTCTATTTTGTGAGATTGCCATGTTCCCCATAGGATCTTTAGTTCATTATTCTCTAAGTTTGAACTAAATAGACCTTAGGTTTGCTATCCATGCATGACAATATTATGTAGATCTCCCTCTTATCCCAACTTTAGGTCCACAAGCATGACAATTTATAGGATTGAGATCCTCTTTTGTTAGTCTTTTCTCTTTTTCACCCATGTTAAAACTAAAACTTTTTTTCAAACTTCAAAACACTTAATAAATAAATTATGAGAATCACACCTCTGTTAAACAATGAAAATGATAAGCGAGTTTTTTCTTGATCTTATCATTCTTTCATTCTTAGTCTTTTGTGTGGTTCAAATCTCAAGACTCTTTTCTTTAATAAGTGGAAACTAGCTAATACTTATGGTATAAGTACCATCGCCAGTGCTTGAGGCCTGACTGATGGTTCGCCTTGGTAAAATGTAGATCAGATCCTAGGAATGAGAGATGTTGAGAGATTTCCTGAGATGTTCCTAGATGAACAAAATTTTGATGGGGAGAAGCCGACAGAGGATTCACTAGGAATTGATCGCTACCGTTTTAAGGAAAAGGCGGTGGATCTCTAGTAGCTTAAATAAATGTAGTTGCAGTTGCCTCGCGCCTAAAATCTATGATTGTTGATGGACATATACGAATATTTGAGAAGCAATGTTAATATTTGATTGTAGGGGGGTCAAGAACAAAGATCTATGATTCAGATTCGAGAAATTTGAATTTCTAGGTTGGAAGATTCAATTTAGTGAGTCGACAAATGAATGTTTAAATATGAAAAACGTGAGAAACAAATGTTGATTCCCACATATGACGACACTGTTTTGCGCATGAATTATAATTGATTGATGGTCGACGAATGTTGTTTCAAGTGTTAGAGGCTAAGAAATAGATGAGACTTCTGTATTCAAGCGTTGAAACATGTTCATTTTCCGGTAACTCATATTTTCAGATAAGACAATCATTGTGTAAATAAATTGGATAATATAAATTTTGTAAATTTTAAAAGATAATGATAAAAGTAATAAAATTTTTGATTTAGAAATTAAATTTTAAATTCTTTTTTCGAAAAACCTTTTATAATATTCTAAACATATCTGTAAAAAAATCATTAAAAAATACACATTAATTTAACATGAGGGACTAAGACATAATAATTTTATAAGAACCGAAATATATTTAACCCTTAAAGAATTTATTTTAATAAGAGAAAAATATTAGTTGAGAGAGATAAGAGAAAGTCACCAGAAATCCCAAGTTTAAAGTCACCCAAATTCAGTCCATATTTTTTCCATCAAAAGTCTTTAGATGTTCTAACTTGTAGTGAACCTTCACAAAGTGATACTACTCAGAACATAACCCTTCATATCAACACTCTCTTTCTCCATGGCCAAGAAAACCCTCTCTTCTTCTCAAGCTTCATCTCAAAACTCACATGCACACAAAACCCTTCCAGATCCAACACAATCACCACCCATTCCTTCAAAACCCTCATCACTCTCTTCTCAATCTCACACACATCAAATCCAACCACTTTCCACTTCAAACTCTCCCCGCCCTAACCGTTCAAAGAAGCCCACACCCGTCGCCGCCGCCGCTGCCGCTGCCGCCGCCGCCGAATCCTCCAAAAGGTCCCAGAGAGTCTGCTTCACTCCCGACGATGTGTTGCTCATTCTTAAATCCCTTTCAGATTTCAAATCCAAAACTGGAAAAGACCCGGTCAAACACATCACTGATTTTCATGATTCATTGAAGAGTGCTCTCAAGATCAAAACTACTGAAAGGAAACTCAGAGAGAAGATTCGGGTGTTGAGGATCAAATTCCAGAAGCAATGTGAAACCGAAGAAAAATACATTTCTTTTTCAAATACTTTTGAAGAGCAAGTTTTTGAGCTTTCTAAGGAATTTTGGGGTCAAGATAATCAAATTGAAGAACAAGAAAAATCACCTGAGAAGGACAATGCTGCTAAGAAACTGCTGCTGCTGGAAGAACCACCCAAGAAGGAAAATGCTGCTATAAAACCATCAACATTGAAGAATTCGGTCCAGGAAGAACCACCCAAGAAGGCTAATAAACCATTAGCATCGAAGAAGAAACCGATCCAGGAAGAGCTATCATCTGTTGTTGACAGTGATAAAACGGGTCGTGTTAGTTTGAGTGAAATGTTTCGTTTTGGGGAAATGTGTATGGATGTGAATGTGCTCAAGAGGGGGATGGAGTTGATTGGGGAATCTCAGAGGGAAGAATTGGAAACAAGGTGGAAGAAGTTGAAAGTTCAAGAGGCGGAAGTGTTTCTGAAGCGTGCGGAGTTGGCTGTAGATCAAGGTCGGTTGATTTTGAAGGAATTAAAAAGATCGTCTTAGAAAGGAGGTATGCATGTTTGTTGGAATTTTTAGCTGGTCAAATCTAATCTAATCTAATATGGTACTCTTTTGCTCTAGATTTGTAGTTATTTTGGATATAACAACTGTTGTAAGTTATGTTAGGTTATGGTAATGAACACATGCAATGCACTGGTTGTGAATGGTGTTTAGATGATTGTAATGTTGCTGTAGTGTGTAATGTATGGATAATCTTGTTAGAGAGACCTCAAACATTGGCTCAAAATATGCACTTGATTGTTGGTTCAACTTTTCTTATTTGTGTTCTTTCAACTATATATGCAGTGAATTTCTGAACAAGTTTTGTTTGATATGGACTTGAGAATGTGGATAATTTTAAAGTGTATCTTTTAGGTTAATGCTAAGTTAGGAACTTATTAGAGTGTAATGTGTGAAACTTGATTGTAGGGGTGGCAAACCGGCCCGATTAGGTCTGCTCCGCAAAAGCCCGCGAAGAAACAGGGCGGCGTGGACATTGTGTAGGGCGCGGGCTTAAAACCTTAGCCCGCCCCGCAAAAAAACGAGGGCAGGGCGGGGAAGAAATGTAACATCTCAACACTTAGTGCAAGTAATCCATTCACCAAACAAAAACATGAACTGCATCAGAATTATAACATAATCCAAGTAGCATAAAACAAGCAACTATTAATTATTTAGTAACATTAGTACTCAGAGAAAATAGGCAAATAGAACTTAGAATTCCAAAGATAAAAAGCATATAAAAAATTCTGACTTTATCGAGTCTTTGATCAGGTAACTACCACAGCATTCTCCTCGAGCTCATTTACTGAAGCTGGTGCTATTTTGGACTTCCTGCATGGCTTTGTAACCTTAGGAAGAGAAGTCTTACGAATTAATCTACACCCCAATTTCTTTAAGAGCATGTTCCACTTTCCCTTAGACTTCATCATTTTCTCCAAATCTTATTTCATGCTCAAACACTCTTTCTCAAGCTTAGAAGCTCTGTCTTTCATGTGATCAAAAGCTACAACAGGGTTATTATGTGTAATGTTGTTTCCGTTTCCGTCACTTCTCATTAGAGCAAGGTTTCCACTAAGGTTTGTTGGGTTTTTGAGAGTGTCGGAAGCAAAGAACCAACCTGCAACAGATGTGGTAGCCTCTCATTTTGAGCTGCGTGTGTGCTTGCTTCCAATGAGAGTTTCTGGCAATTCATCAGCCTGCAGATTTGTTCCTTCTCAGATTCTGTCATCCATGCATGACTCTGAAATTCATAATTATCCATTAGTTTCTTTTAAACATAATAACTCTGCTTAATTAACCATTTAGACCATGTTTAGATTAACAACTTACTAAAGCATTTATAGGATAACAACATTAGTTCTACCAAATGAAATGTTTAATTTTGTACTTGAGGAATATATCAATTGTGCCATATATGCCATCATCCAAAGTCCTAGCATATTCAGGAATAACAGCAGCAAGTGACTGAAATATCGGCAACTTCAAATTAACATCAGGTGCTACTTCTGCCAAATAAGTTATTTGAAACAACTATCCATCTAATCAGTAACTTTTGTCATTGGATTAAGATGTTGACAGTTTCCAACTACGCGTCTCTCTTCTTCAACAATATTGTCATTTAATGTAGAATCAATATCATCATGATCAACAATCATGAAACGATCAAGCATTCTTTGAACACAATCAATATCGTGAATTGTCTCCATTGAGTAACCAATGTTTGGAATCAAAAGATCTTCAAGATCAGCTTCATCTAACTGAAAACCAATTATTTTTTCCAAACTAGCACAGCAAGAAGAGCTAGCATATAAAGCCATAGTTGTTCTCAAACACTTGAGCAAAACTTAGTTGGTGTTATACCCTTTTCATTTGGAAGCAACTAAACTATTTCTTCAATCAGATTCCTTTGATCAGCTTCAGAAAGATTTGATTTTGCCGAGTTTCTGTTTTGATAACTTGACAAAGAAGGTATGTTTTTCTTTGCATAGTAAACAAGTGAACCAATAACTCTTTTCGGTTTCATGTGTCTTGCGATACCACCTTGCATGAATCTTTTATATAAAGGTAAACTAAGTGAAGAAACATCTTCCAACCACCAATCTTCACCTGTTTCTTTAGATGTTAGGCTTGTGGATATTCCATTCCACATTTCTGGATATTCCATTCCACATTCTTGAATCCACTGGATCTGCAGCTTTCAAAACAAGAGAATGTATGCCTCTTGATGTTATGTGAAGCTCTTCAGTTAAAGGTAAAACCCCTTCACATGTTTTGAGAGCTTTAAGCGTGTCTGTCCAATAACCCAAAATGTGGTTAAGGAAATTTTCAGTTTGTATGATTAGTTTCATTTTAACACCATAGCAGAACCTAGCAACAAGAAGAAAGGGTTTGGCTCCTCCTGGTAGACAATGAAGTTCCAAAACCGATTTCTCGTTGTCACTTGATAAATCTTTCATGAAACGTTCTAGTTCTGTACTTGATATCAATGGAAACTGAGAAAAGGGTTAACAGTTCACGGTGAATCTAAACTTGCGCTTAACTCAAGTGATGTGAGTAATGATATCACTTGGGAGTCCAGTTGAGCAGAGCCTAATGATGGAGACTTAAAAGTCCACAATAATATTTCACTCGAAAACAAATGAATTATGTGTATAATAGTAAGAAGGAAAGGTTGCGAAAACGATTGCAAAAAAACAATATCGAAAGATGTCGATCTTGTTATTCACCTTTTTAATGTAGAGAAAAAAAATTCACATACGAGACGCCGATGTTACAAGTGTGATAGAACACTAGTGAAACACTATGACAATCGTGAAATGATGTTACGACTAAGGGTGTTCAAAACCGAACCGGTCCAATATAAAATCGCAAAAAATCGCATTTGATTCCGATGTGTTTGAGTTATATTTTAACAAAACTGTGCAGTTCAGTTCGGCTTGCGGTTTGTATTTTATAAACCAAACCAAACTGAATCAAACCACATTATGTTACAATACAAACTTCATTTAACCGACATCCAATTCAAACCCAAAACTATTATGCCTTAGCCTTAGGATTGTGAATGATTCTCTCTTCCCCACACTTAAGATTTCAGTTTAACTCTTCTCAAATCTCAGTTTCTTTTATCTTTCCTTCATTATTCCACACCTCCACTGTAAATCTCCCCGAATCTTTTCAAATTCTGCAATTTTATTAATATAGGTAATTGTTTTATATAATTTAATTTCAATATATTTATATAATTTTGTTTATTGTTTATTATATTTTCTAATTAAAATTTTGGTTTAATTTATTTTGTCAAAATTGAAGAATATTGAAGAGTTTAGAAAAAGATTGAAGAAGAAGATTGATTTAAGGAGATTGAAGATGTATTTATGAAATTTTAATTTTAATTTTATTTTATATATATATATATATATATATATATATATATATATATATATATATATATATATATATATATATATATATATATATATATATATATATATATATATATATATATATATATATATATATATATATATATATATATATATATATATATAAACTGTGTATTCTATATAAATAGGTAAAATGCCACCTCAAATTGATAAGAGTAAGGATAGTGGTAAGAAGTCTAAATGCCTGAGGTTAGTAACATGTGAGGCACCTCAGTCGGCCACGTGTCCTCTCCCACAGAGTCAGGTTGATCTTATGTCCATGGTCAGTACTCAGCATTTTGTGCCATTACTCCCCTCTTAGAATATGTCATTCCCACATGGGAGTTCGTCTTTTATTAGTCCGTATAGGGTACCATCTTTTGTTAGGCCACATGTTTTCTTTTTCCGCAAATCCAGATGTCCTCATCCTTCCAGCATGTTGGAAGACCCAATTTTCCATATCCCACACATATGCCTTTATCCTTCCAGTAGACTAGAGGATCCAACACCCCACATCCCACACATATTCCCTTATCCTTTCAGCAGGTTGGAGGATCCAACACTCCATATCCCACACAGACTAGAGGATCCCGCACTCCACATCCCACACAGACTGGAGGATCCCACACCCCACATCTCACACATGTACCTGCACGTGAGGATGATCATACGCAACCGGATGATGATGATGCTGTGGATAGGGATGACAATGTATTGGATAGAAATGATCTTTTAGGAAATGTTGATCCGAGTGAGATTCATGTCATTGACAGGAGATTTTGGATTTGACCTGAAGGAAGCTCGTAAATTTCTTATTTATAAATTTTTATTAATTATACATTTTCATTTTTAATATAAATTTATATTTAATATTTCTAATTCAAATTATTGTTGTTTAGTTTCTTACCGAGTCGGACTGCTGCCAAGGTTATAAATTATATAATTCACCCGATATTTAAACAATTTTGGAAGACCTTCAAAGATATTAAAAATAAAGAAGTTTTATTTAACAAATTTAAGGTATACTTAATTTATTTTTAGTTATTGTTACTTAAATGACTTTTTCATTATAATTATCTAACTATTTATTTTAATGTCATACAAAATTGTAGAAAAAATATGTGTGAGACCCATTGAACAAGAAGCTGATTAAAAAAAATTATTATGACAGAACCTCAAGACGATTTTTTGACATAATGCGGCGTGTTAGAGAGTGTTGGGAACTTCAAGGTATCCGTCCCAATTGGATAAACAAAGAAGTTTTTGAGGAAATTCTTAAATATTGGGAGTCACCCGAATTTTGGGTTAAATCTGAAAATTTTTAAGAAGAAGAGGGCATCTGAAGAAAGGGATTGCGTTAATGTAGTTGAAAGTATAAGTACCGCAGAGCATGTTCGACGCATGATAAATATTACCATTTTTTAAGTTATATTTTGATTCATAATATATTTTATTAATTAAAGTTAATTTTATTATTTAGACCAAGACTTTAGGGAGACCACCACTAATGATTGAGCTGGTTAAAAAGACTCTGACAAAAAAAACTGGGGATTTTATTGACGAACGTACACTAAAAGC